GAGAGAGAGAGAGAGAGAGAGAGAGAGGGCAGTGAGAGAGAGAGAGAGAGAGGGGGGGGGCAGTGAGACAGAGAGAGAGAGTGGGAATACGAGTCTGAGGCAAGAGAACGTTCCCAGCTGCAACAAGATTAACAATGGATATTGAAATGGCATTTCTGTCATTTTATGTAGGTTGAGGCTGGGTGGCTCGGGTTCTGGGCCTCTGTAGCGGGGATGATCGCAGCACTGATTTTAGCAAGGTGAGATACATTAAGTTTTATAAGTCATTTAGTTTTTAAGTTTTGAAAGTCAGTAAGTTTAATACCGCCATATTTCACCCCATTCGGATGGAATTTTTTATCTGCAGTTGTGATTTCTGGAAAGTGTGTTTTTTAATCGCATCTATCTGCCTATTGAATACAAAAGCCAGATCGTAAAGTGTGGAAAAATAGTCAACAAGACGGCGTGTTATATGGGAATATATACTTTCTTGTTATGGGTGAATAAAAGATTTTCATCTGTGTGCATCTTCATCGCAAAACACGAGCTTGATCTTCTTTAATGTTAACTAGTAGAAAAAAGTCGTGACATTATCGGTGAATTGTAACATTAACAGTGATGGTAGATGTTGATAATGTGACAGTTGTGACGTTATTCACAGTTGTCGCTTGATCGATGCATTGCCACATTATAAGTTGTAATTCTCCATGCATCAGTAGCAGAGGCATGCCACTGTCTTTTACCCTACACAATCAAATTGTTTCCTCGTTTCTTTCACCGCATAGATTTGCCGACATCTTTGCTGGTCACCTAAAGAAGCTGTTATTACTTCTGCTCCTTGGCGCTATTGGGTCGTTTGTCTGGTTTGCCGTCCTTGTGGCTGGACTTGTACCCAGCGATTCACCTGGATGGACAGGTGCGTTATTTTTATTTATTTAGTTAGTTTACATTCCATGTTAATGATAATAGAAATAAAAACCCTCTAACACATACATGTATCATGAACTAATGACTTTAAAAGGAATTTATTAAATTTTTGTCTCTTTGTTTATTTATTCATTCTTTGATATACAAATAAGTATTCATTTGCTTGATGGATTATTCATTATACATAAAGTGACCAGTACGATGTTTTGTTACGTATTTTGATGCTTGTGCCACATAACACAAAAGTTCCTTTCCCATGTTATATAATATTTATATTAGTGATGCTGTACACGTCGTATATCCTCGGCGGAATTTTTGAAACTGGATCCACAGCGTTCTTCTACGAGATAGCGTGTGAGGCCAGCTTCCCCACCGCGGAAGGGGTGACCACGGGCTTTCTGACATTCCTGAACAACGTGTGCGGCTTAGTTTTCCTTTTTATATTCATGATTCCTAATGTTGGTAAGTACGAAAAACGTAAAAACTTAGTCTCTCTCTCTCTCTCTCTCTCTCTCTTTAACGTATAAATTTTTAATTTACTGTCGCCTGTTATAACAAAGCTAGTATATAATACTGCACCAGCGGCACTGAACACTCCGAGTGGCATACTGTTTATTAACAGCGCCAGATACTAAGCTATGGATTAAGGCTATTGAGATTTATTACTAAGAGAATTTCGTCGTCGCTGATCATGACTAATGAACACAAAAAAAAATAACAAATAGTGCACCAACCAATTCATGCAAGTGAAAATATGGGCAAAAATATTTAATGATATTTCAAAATCTGCGACTATTATGCTCTCTCTCTGTGTGTGTGTGTGTGTTTGTGTTGTTTATCTAATTTTGTTTTGTTTGTTTTTTCAGACAAAAAGTTCATGAACTGGGTGCTCATCGGCTCCACAACCGCAGTGGTCCCTGTAGTTATATTATACAAAGAAAGGTACACACGGCTTGACCTAGACACGCAGATTGAGCACAAAGGATGACGTCATAGGTATCCATGACGTCACATTGATTTCAATTCACTACCTCCATGCGTTTATATAAATATGGATTGTGTAGATATTGATCAGTCTTCCGATGATCGACGTATGCGTAAGATAGAAATGATAACATCACCTGATCTTTTAATGACTCCATTAAAAAAATTGATAAGGATATAATGATGACACCCATGATTTGACGTAATACTCAGGAAATACTCGCTGATGACGTGCCAAATGTACCGGTGATCGCTGTGTGTGATAAGATAATGCTTCGCCTATCAAAATTACCATTGTTGTTTTGTTAAAGTACCAGGCGTATCCACTGGCATATTCAGGGTTTTACGAATGGGGAGGCTGACACAATAACTGAAAAAATCAAGCTTCGTTCTGCAAATTTGTCGCTGTAGACGAGAATTGTATCACATGATGTTGGGCAAAGGGATTGAATGGCTTTTATGTATCGTTGGTTATTTATTTATTTATTTATTTATTTATTTATTATTTTTTTGGGGGGGGGGGGTGATGAAGGGAACCTTCAAAGCTACTGTAGGTGCTGCCCCCTCTCCTTTCTCCGATCCTCCTTTTGTGTCGTAACTGCAGTACTTATTCTTGCTGCCCAATGCTGTAGCTGGATTACAGTGCCAAGGGCGGACGACAGTACCGAAGGCAGTGCCAAGGGTAATTACATAAACACGCGCAAAGCACGCGGTGTCTCTGGTCGTTTAATCAAAGTGTGATTTATGGTGAATATGTAACCACCGTATTTTGAGTAAACTTATCGAACAAAGATTGCTACTACTGTTAGAATAAAAAGTGCATGTAAAATCAAGACTAATATATCAGTTTCGTAAATGTAAACATGTATGTCCAAGTCCGTGCGGTAATTTCCCACTGCGTGTTGACATGTTTGGTCTTCTGAAAGAGGACACCCTTGTTTAATGCGAAGGGAAAAGTTTTTTTACTCCAAAAATAGCAGCAAACTTGATGACCGGTGTGGATTATATATATCACTATATTGCCGGACTGGTATACAAACAGACAGGAGGCCAGTGAAGTGTAGAAAAGCATCAGATATGGAAGCTGGGGTGAGGTGCTATATACAAATACAGCCATATAGGTTGATTGTGTTGAAATCTCCTCTAACACATTCTACGGAGTTCGAGCCCGTCACCACATAGATTACAGTGTATTTTTCCCACTGGCCCCTTGAAACCTAATTGTTATGTCTTTGTTATGTTACGAATAAAAACGCATTCCTTAATTGGACCATTTGTATTATTTCTTTCCTGTATCTCTTCCTTTTCTTGATTTATTTATGAAGTAATTCCTGCATATGAACAAATGGAGGTGTGTCCCCGTGGAAGTTTCTTTTTAAATTTCACCCAGGGCAGAGGATGCAGCTCTTTAAGTGTTAATAAACTGTGAAAAAAATATGACAATCTTCAATCTTCTGTTGTATGTCATACGCCGTTAGATAACTCATAATGGCACAGCAATTTAAAAGTCACTTGAGTTAACTGGAGTCTTTAAGTCGACTAATCACAGATTTTTGTTTCCCGTTTTTCCGTTTCTCTCTCGTCGTGCATACATGAAATTAAGCCTTAAGCTACTTATTATCGAGGACGTGACCCTTATCACACCTAGAAAGTCGAGATAATTAGGTTTCATTTTCTAGTTAAGAAGATATAACTGTCTCGCCAGTCGTTGACGCTGTTGTTGTTGCTGTTGTTGTTGTTTTTCAAGAAAATAACCATAACTTAAAAAATACGGGTTTTGATAAAATTTAACAAACAACGTAATGTTTAAATAAAGGGTAGCACATGAAGTCATAAGCAGACACCCGACTGGACTGACCAGCAAAAAGAACCCAAGTGCCAGAAAAAAAAAAGGCAACCTTATGGGGAATGGCAAGTTAATCATTAAATCATTAAATGACACAGCCATCGAAAAGTCATTCAATTATCACAGAAATGATCTTACTTACATATGTGGTCAAGAGAATTTTGATGACATTTAAATGGGTGAAATCGCCCATTTTAAATACTCATTTTTTTCACTTCGCCTCTTCAGTGCATGAGCGGCACATATACTAAGTTCGGTAACAAGAAACTGAAATTACGCGTAACAGAGAGGTCGCCCTACATTAAATTCATACAGGTTTCGGGTAGCATGACGTAGGTGGGCCACCTGTACATGTCTACCGGGCCCTGTATCACAGCTACAGAATTCTCGCGTACATGACGCTTTCCAATCTACCCACACTGACAATACATAAACCGCTTGTTCTAATTACAGCGTGTGTTCAAAACATTTCCACGTTTAAACAAAGATAATGATATCATTAAATAATGTGCCAGCGGCTTAATCAACAACAACTTAATCAAAAGCAAGATAAACGAGAAAAACATCAAGGGAAAGGGATTATACCCGCAGTAGATATCCAATCTGCCGAATTTACAAGTCGATCAACTTGATAATCTTAACATATCGGGTAGCTAAAAAACATCACCAGCTTGAAAGTTCAATAACTTCAACATTTTTAAAGATATTGCAATCAAATAAGATATTCTGGGAAAATGATGTGTTTAAAAAATGCAAAAAAATTCATGACTCTACCTTTCTTATTTTTAGTACACTGAAAAAAAAAGGTTAGCTCATTCTCGAAATGTAGGTCCATTTGAAAAAAAAAAACAAAAGACAGAAAAGTGAAAAGTTAAGTTAAAGATATATTCGCAAATTCTACTTTTTCCAAATCTCTGGTGGCAGAAATTAATAAATATTTTTTTCTTTTTATTATCTTCATGCCATGCAAGTATGGGAAAATTTATTTAGTAACGAAGGTTTTAACGAAAGTTTCAAAAATAACAACTCTTTTAGATAATATTTGCAACTTTCAAAAATAGACTGCGCTAAAGCGGTTTTACGAGATGTAGGTTTATTTCACTGGCACATTTTGTCCTCGGCCTCAAGCATATTTTTCACAATGTCTGGTAACGAAGGTTTTGCAAATTACTTTCTTTGACAAAGCAGTTTTGCCGTGTTTCCTGTAAAACATTTAATTGTGTCCTGTCCCCATATCGTCTACCTAATCATGGATGTAACTGAATTTAAAGTTTTAGTAATAGCTAAAATATTACAAAAATATCAAACAACTTAAATTGATGGACTGAACCAAAAGATTCAATGGAAAAATGTTCAATTTTAAAAGTAAAAAAAAAAAGAGACAGAAGCTATTTATTGAGTTATTTAAAAGAAAACATTTTAGACGTTTTCTGAGACCTCTGACATCATACTCGCTTCCTGACAAGTTGCAGATTTTCTACTTTAGTAAAAATAAAAAGCTACATCGATTGGCGAGCGTGAGATAGTGCTGTGACCGACAGTCACGAAGATTTGAAATTTAGTCTCTATGTTTTTTGAGAACAGATAATTTAGTCATTATTATTTTAATTTTTAAGTTGCTTACATTTAATAGAATTTAAAAAGTTAAATGGACCTTTATATTAAGAAAGAGTGGTTAGTCAAAAAACGCTACTACGGGCTATGAGACTTCTGACTAGTGCCAGTGCCTGGTAGTTTTCAGATACTGTAGTACTCGGAACAAAAAATAAAATCTTTCGCCTTATTTTGCCTAAAATATCTGAGATCAAAAAACGATTAATTCTTTCTTTTGAATCGCCTTTCAATTTGCATTTGAAGCACACATCTATGCACACGCGCTCTGACACACAGGCATATACACAAGGGCAAGCACATTTGCACGCGCACACGCACACCGATAGTCTTACACAACAAAACAGACATGCGTGTTGTGCTGTCTTGTCAGCTTGTCAAAGGGTAGGGCACTGTTATCATTATACATGTAGCTTTTCAGAATTTCAGCTATTGATAAATTGCCCGAGTTAACACCTTGCTTGCTAATGAAGCTGGAAAGCTGATTACTGGAGATTTTCTTGGTGATCGATACAGTAGGGAGAAAACACGTCACTCAGGCTTACTAGAGTTAGCCCTCCCCCCCCCCCTTCCAATCCCCATCGGTTCTTTCATTTTATATCATTTTCATGATATCCTTTCACAAAAGAAAATGTTTGTCTCTGTCACCTACTTCAAAAAAAAAAAAAGAAAGAAAGAAATGTAAAATTTGCCCGGTGCGCAAGCGTGCCTGGTTGCGTGTGGAACATGCACTATAAGTAAAGGCCATCTTTTTTTTATTAATAACTTATGTTTTTTTCCCTTGAACTACTTCTGTGGAAGACTACACTTGCAAATCGGCGCGTGTGCAGGGGAAAAGTGCTTGACAAATGAGGTAAGGATGAATGAATTAAGACAATATTTCGTAAATTGATGAATTTATGTGGCCAACCTTTTGCGTTTTTTTATGTCAATATAAAAACATATAAAAAAGTGAGTCAGACGAATGTTAAAAAGCACGTAAACCATATCGCTGACAATAGGATTGGAACCTTTCCCAAGCTTTTCTATGGGTAATTATTCTAAGACAAGCTCCATTTATAGAAAGATAACTGTCACGTCGTATTCTTTATCCTGTAGAATTAAGCAAGGTAATTATTTTTAAAAAGACAGATAAAGAGCTACGAGATTGTTACATTAAGTTAAAATTGCTATTTGCACTTCTGCTGTCCAAGAGAGGGTCACCGTGCGAACAAAGAAAACGGCATAAAAAGACAAAATGAGCCTGCTTTCTTGCCTTTATAATCGGTTTCATATAATAACTCGGAATGATTAAATAGCAGTCGATTGGACGAGATAAACGCACCAAGAAACCGTTATCTAGCAAGCCTATCATCATCAAGTGCTGTGATGATTGAGACCTTTGCTGTTAAACCGTCTTGTAAGTAGTCCTGCGGAAGGATATGCACTGTTTTGTCGTCTGCCAAGCGGAATTAATCAAAGCGCCCCCTGAATGCAACAAATAGGCAGTATCCGCGGATTCTGTTGAGCTCCAATTGTAATGGTTAATTGGTGTCGAGCACGCATTTTGACATACGCTTCTGCGACAAGGGCTCACGGTTTGCTATAAAATAGATCGACGCTGATAGATTTATGAACTGTCTTCGCTTCAGCGGTGAGAACGCGCTCCCTAGGGACACCGAGGGATAGAGTATGCTTTGATCGTCTGCTGAAAAAAAACAACATTAAATACTTTCGAATGTATAACGCTTCTGTTTTCGGTGGATTTTTCTCGCCAGGAATTTAAGTTCGTTAAAATTGAAGAGCAACATCCTTCACGGGAACACATTAACTAAACCAAGGACTGCGAAATTCCAAACCGTTTTTAGTTCTGCTTGCAATATTTACACACTCTTACCACCGGACGAATTTCTTAATCTCGCCGAAGCTAGGCAATGACAAAGCACCCACCGTCCTCTTTCAACATAGATGATATTTTAATGCGGTCGCGAGGAGCAGCCCCTCCAAGACCAACGCTAACACCCAGAGACAGAACCGCCGTGGTAGAATCGATGCTGTCGGCGTCGTGCATCCAGTCTTGTATTCGCCGGGACCTGACGGCCGCCTCCCCGATGTTCCCGTACCTATCCGCCCCTGCCTACATGCCGCCGGCGCTGCTACCGACCGTCTACCACAGCCCGGGATCGGAGTACTCGTATCTTCTCCACGCTCCCGGTAAGTCCGATTATAACCACTAGGCTAGACTCATAAATATGTTATCGTTTTAAGTTTCACTGTCTCGATGACCGACCACACCCCTCTGCCTTTATCTCAGCCACATGCGGCAGTGTTTTAGGGTCTTTTGAGTTTGCCAACAGCACGATATACTCAAGATGCGTAGCTTTGTTGTTGGCCGCGTTATTAACGGTACACTAACACTGCCAGACAACAACAGTAATCGATACTAAAAATCAGTACAATATGCGTTAATGGGTAAAACTGGCAATCCTTCGTGGATAAATCACACAAACACATGACTGTACTGCATATCATTCATGTAGTCCCAAAACATTGACATTGATGCACAATTAACATTTGGCGCATTGTCTTAAATACAGTGTGAACTAGAATATGCCACATGTATTCCAACCTTGCATTAAAAATATACTTATTAATATAAATTGCCAATAACTCCCAGAGGGGAACCCTTAAGTAGCAGATAAAGCTTAAGGGCACTGAGGTTGATTGTAGCGAACACAAAGCTCAAATTAAAACTGCAAGCTGTGTTTATGAGGAAAGTTCTGGCAGTTTTATACTGCTTACGACTGACCAGCAGTTCAGATGAATTTTACGAAAACGCCGTATTTAACAAGAACAAAACATAGCGCGTTGCCATAAAATGTACAGCTGACTGTTCCATTCTGCAGTCCTCAAATTTAAGACAAAACAATTCAATAATCATGATATCTGATGAAAGGATAAAATATCATACCAATTATCATATTAGTAGATAGAAAATAATCTAAACAGCTAAAAGACAGGAGATATTTCTTTATTTTGAATAATAACATCGGTCAAGACAAGAAAGTGATCTATTTGAACGACAACAACACGGAGCAGTCAGCTCATGAATAATGAAATATGACACGTGTGCATGAACTGCATGCGACCTGTTTTCCCTAGAGATAGACACAACTAAAATAAATACAAAATCAGATTATATTAAAAAAATTAATGATAAAATGGAAAATAGTACTATGTTTCATAAAAAAAAGCTGCCTTACCTGGGAGTATGAATAAGTTACAGCATTGAAATGCAAAACATTCCTGCGCACGATTTTCGGTAAGATAATGTATCGTAAAAGGTCGGGCGCCATCTTGAATTCCAGCACGAGAGGGTTGAATTTGAAAAATTCGCTTCGCAGACGCTGTGAAGGTAGGAAAAACAACCTCGATAGGTGCATGACCATAGGTACATGCACATAAATTACATTAGAACCATCTAAGAAGGAATTTGCCAGCCTACATGGGGCAAAATATTTTGCATGAAATGTTATTTTTCTCAAGCCAGTCGCTCAAGGGTATTAAAATATGACCAACTTGGAAGATCACACAGTAGTTAAATCAGTTAACAAAAAGGGTGCCAAATTTATGTTAAAAATGCTGTAATTAAACCCTCATGAATCAAGAAAGACAAACAGGTAAGGGTCAGGCACCCGAAAATTTGTTGAAAAGACGAGAAATTCGTAAACGTTAATTACAATAAAATGGGCGGAGGGGAAATGTTCACCAACGTGATTATCATTTCGTTGAATGGCCGACAACGGATCTTTTTGATGACAGCAATAACATGGTCAACGCACAAGTGTCTAAATTCCACCTGGCTATATAACTGCTGTCATTTTCTAATTTCCTTCAACTTGGGATCACGCGGCCCATAAACAAAATCAACGAAATGACCAAGAATATACCCATTCTCGAGTTCTCTGTTACACTCAAATATCAGCCTTGCTGCATTTTCTTTGTTTCTATTCACAAGTAATTATAGCCCAAGCGAGAAATGTTAACTGAGGAACAAAGAAGCCAAATTGTTCGAAGGACGTTATCCCCTTAGTGCAACAATGGCGGACACTTTCCGCCATCTTTAATCTGCAGACGGGTTGATTGCATTCGAACTGTCTGCGAATCAGAAGGAGAGGCCGTGTATATCAGTCAAGGAGTATTCTCCGGTTGTAGCGTCCTGGTTAAATTATAAATAGGTTGTTCATTTTCCACTCTTTTTTGTCGTTAGCAGTATGTACCTCATAACTATATGCTGCCCTGGACACTTGAAATGTCACTGCATAGATTAGTGAAATTACTCCCTGAAGATTATTGCCTTTGCCTTGCCTTTGAATTTTATGATTAGACAATTCAACAAAAGCCTTATTTCGAGGAAATATATAATAAGATTACTCAGATTAAATAATTTTTTAAAAGTTCTTTATTTAGCACAATTTTGTTCCTAATGTCAGTTAAATACATGCATTATGTGAACGTTAAAATATGGGTTAAATTAATGTTAAGCAACATTAACAATCTTTACAAAACTTATTTTACATTAAAGTAAAGTGCATGTTATTATCACCTAACTTATTTTAAGGCGTCATAAGATTAAATCACAAACACAGTACAGTTACATATTTTAATTGAATCTGTGTTTGTGTGTGTGTGTGTGTGTGTGTGTGTGTGTGTGAGAGAGAGAGAGAGAGAGAGAGAGAGAGAGAGAGAGAGAGAAATAAAAGATTAAAGGCAAAAACCAATAAATATATATGTGTAAATACAGTAGATTATCATAATTTGCAGAATTTTATGTGTGAGCATGTCTAAGCACACTGAAATGGACATTAACTGCTGTATTTAGGACAATATCCACGCCCACTAATAATGATAATAAACAAACTGCATTCATGTAATCATCAGCGTATTATATTTTCGCACTTTTGATAAGAATATAATGAATCTTTATTTACGCATCAAAGATAGTATGAGAATTGAAGTTAAACGAGCATTTATAAGTGCTATCTTAACCAAGCGTAATCAGCAACAAAAAGAAATTATTTATACATCACTCAAACGAGAGACACAAGAGAACTCTCAGGAGCAGACAACTGATTACAATCAAGCCGTCTGCTGAAGGTGTGTTAGCGTCTGACTGAGTGCATTCTTAAATACTGGACATTATGACAAGCTGTGAGGCAATCAGTTAGACGGAGATTTTTGGAGAAATGATCGGAGAAGGACATCTTTAAAGGCCAAATTTAATTAGGCAGGGCAGAGGTGAGTTTTCTCTTAAATTGACTTGCTCCTTAGGGTCAGATGATGGTGCATTGTTGGTTTATTTTTCATAGGTATGAAAAATTATCCAGTGAGTCGGAGGACTCGAGTTTAGTTCTGTCTCAGCCACTGATTAGTCTAGTCAAGAGGATCAGGTAGCTTTTTACATAGAAGCTATTTTATTATTATTATTATTATTGCATCGAAATCTGGTGTGCTTGTTGACAAAGGTGATACACCGTCCCTTGAGTAAATCCAATCAAATAAAAATTGAAGTGGGCGAGAGACAAGCGTTTTGTTAAATCATCAGAGTGACTATGGATGTCTTTGAAAGGACCGTTTTATGTAAACTTTTATTCAAATGTAAGATGAAAGTGAGATTTTCGTTATGAGTTTAAGTTACATAAAATAAATGAGAAATATTAAATCTGCACCTTGTGACCGCAAGAAGTGTGTGTGTTAAATATGAATCTTTCAGCCACCGCCACGTTATAATTTTTATTCACTCAGGGGAGTGGTCACATATAGTTATATTATGTGATATCAAAGCAAAATTCGCAATCAAAGTAGAGGGCATGCAATTAGTAACCCTACCCTGCGTTTTAAAGGGGAAATTCAATTTGTGGCTATTTTATTCATCAGTAGACCGCTGTTTGCAGCCTCTCTGCGCATTGTTTGAGTATAAGATTCACGACACTGTACTCCTTGATATTCATATCTAACTATTGCTTCTCTCTCTCTCTCTCTCTCTCACAAACACACACACACACACACTAGACTGCTAATGTTAACACTGTTATATTATTTTCTAATTATTTATTTTTTTTTATTTCGGTGATGAACGAACTAAAAAATTATGTTCAACAAAAATGCAATGGTGTAATTGTAACCTGGCTTCAATTTTTATTTCCTGAAATGTTGAAATGAAAATATGAATATATAGGAATGCCAATATTTCAACACACCTTAAGCAAATGAATAAAATGTGCAAATTAGCAAATGTATAAAATATATATTAACATTTAGTGTTATAGCACTTTTGGAAAAAGATTTGCCACGATTCACTTTGTATTAATTATATAAAATTATTTACAATAAATTGCAAATCTTTAAGGTATATTTTTATAAATTTTCACATTTCTATTATTTACATTGGATTCTTCTGAGGTCATTAACATACAACTGTACATCTAGCGTCATATCATTATGCATATATCCCTCGATTGAATTGCTAAGGGTTCAAAATAAGCATTGATTCTCATTAATAAGATTCTTTTAATTCAACGTGAATCATTCCCCGCCTTGGCTGTGTGTGCAATAAATGGAAACACTCGCATACAATATTACATGTCATGACAAAATAATGACGGACAATGACATAAAATGCACGCAATGACTTAAATGTCTGTGATAATCTGCACTCTAATTGAGGCTAAATTGGATTTGTTGAAATGATTTAAATGCTGACAACTTTTGCCCGGCATTTAAACGTGTCTATAAAAGAAAAATAAAGCAGTCGTCGGGTTCTTTGCACCAATTCAAGACAAAATTTGAAATTGTTCAACAATTTCCACATCGAATTTGTTAGAATTAAATATTATGATGAAGTATGGTAAATATTGATCAGGTAAAAAGTTTGCTTTAAATTTGCAGAATAGCATAGGATTTCGGTTAAACGCATCGAAATCTGAAAAACACTTTAACGTATATTTTGCATAAATTAAAGGATGATTTCCAGGAGAAAAAGTCATTTTATTTTATTTTATTTTATTTTATTTTATTTTATTTTATTTTATTTATTTACTTTTGTCTCTTTAAAGATAGACAATTTGTTACATTATATACATTTGAACGAATTTAACACTGCAATTGAACATATGCAAAAACGAGCATTTATGAATAATTATTGTTTGAAATAT